ATTTAACCCAATCAAGTCCCAAGCGCACACACACAGTAGAGAACACACACACACACACACACACACACACACACACACTGTGAACACACACACGGAGCAGTGGGCAGCCATATTGCGAGAAAAAAAGAGCAAATCCGCAGTATTCCAGATGCAAGTGACTTCAGAGCAGGCCTCCGGAATTTGTAAGTCAACCTGAACACCTTGATTAGCTTGTCCAGCTGGTTTTGGTTAGGTTTGGAGCTGAACTCAGCAGGACTTTGGTCCTGGACTGGAGTATTGAGCACTGCCCTGTTGAAAAAAACAGCATATGCTGGTTAGGTATGTTCTGACGCTGGGATGCTGGTTTAAGCTGGTCCTTTGCTGGTTTAAGCTGGTCCTTTGCTGGTTTATGCTGGTCTTTTGCTGGTTTATGCTGGGCATGTGCTGGTTTATGCTGGTCTTTTGCTGGTTTATGCTGGTTTATGCTGGTCTTTTGCTGGTTTATGCTGGTTTATGCTGGTCTTTTGCTGGTTTATGCTGGTTTATGCTGGTCTTTTGCTGGTTTATGCTGGTTTATGCTGGTCTTTTGCTGGTTTATGCTGGTTTATGCTGGTCTTTTGCTGGTTTATGCTGGTTTATGCTGGTCTTTTGCTGGTTTATGCTGGGCATGTGCTGGTTTATGCTGGTCCTTTGCTGGTTTATGCTGATCCTTTTGCTGGTTTATGCTGGTCATGTGCTGGCAAAGGACCAGCATAAACCAGCAAAGGACCAGCTTAAACCAGCATCCCAGCGTCAAAACATACCTAACCAGCATATGCTGTTTTTTTTCAACAGGGTGAGGTGAGGACAGTGAATGCTGGAGTTATATTGAATATAAAGAATTACAGTTCGACACTGGCTGTTAGGAATCACCGAATCAACTAATATTAGGTTACAGTAATCAAATGTATCTAAAATGAGTTCCCTAAAATAACAATAAATAAAGTTCCCTAAAATAACAATAGCATGTTACCACTTCTTAATAGTGTATCTTAGATTTGACCATGTTTCCTGTTTATTTATACTAACTCTACCAATTTAAACACAGACCTTCTGGCCTGGGATTTAAGGCATTGAGCTAATTTCTGTGATTTTCCTGTGCTGTCATTTAAAACAATGAGCCATGATTAAGCAGCCTAGAATGACAGCTGTGTGAGAAAGAGGAATGTATAGTCAACCTGTCAACTACCTGGATAATTGCTGTGCCACGTTAACAACTAAGACCTAAAAACAGACTGCTACAGTTGTATAAGACCGTAAAGCAGAGCCCAACATTCAATTACTGATGGTCAAATTATAACCTCTGCTATGTGCTCATCCTCTTCTGTAATGACCCATATCTGTCACCAAGGTGAACGAGCGGTTTTAATCTGTAGTATTAAGCTACATTTAGCAATAAACAAACAAACATCTCACAGAGTGGCTGTTTCCTAGTCAGTCACTGCTTCCAAATTCGTGCACTGTCAGAGTATGTACCGCATTTAATGATATACTGCTTAGTCATAAATGAAGTATGCTCTATAAGTACTGCAGATGTGCTCTGTGAATACAATACTGCTATAGCAGTACACAGGGCGAGGAGTTTTGTTTTGTCCAACCTTGGATGAAAAAGAACAAAACCAAACAAAAGATTAATATCATATGCGACACATGAGAACATCAGGTCAAGGTTTTGTGTGTTTGTCCCTGTTGGTAGATGCTAGATCACCATCTGACTGTGAAGAGAATACTTCTCCATTGACATCCATTCAAAATATCTGTATATTCTGACAAAATAAACTTTTTAATTTATGTCAGTTTTATCTAGCCTATCTATTGCACGCAGTATACATATGCAGTTTATTTTTTGATTGAGTGGAAATGCTTCACTTGACCTATACTACTGTTTTTAGAATCTCATAATGTCATATAATATGTTATTGTGTGATTCTTTGGCTATTTTAAAGATGTCATATGCAGTCTAAGCCTCTTGTCATGTCTTTCTTTAATGATCATTTCTTAACTCCATCATTTCCCCCAAATTACAAGACCAAAGTAGTTCTGAAGCCATTTTAATCTGAAAGAAATGACCTAGATCTTCTTAATTTCATCAGTCTAAGCAGAGATTCATTGCAAATTATTGCTAAATGTTTATCTCTGTAGATAGTAAAAAATAACATTTTATGTGCACATGCATCAGCTATTTGCTGTGGATAAAAGTCTGTGAGAGAAAATCAGTTGCAAACCTCTGATGGTAAAGCGAACGCTCTTGTTTCTTCCAGGCAAGAGAAAGAGAGGCTCCGCCCACCGCGGCGCATCAGTCTGCGTGTCGCGTCTAGAAACCGAAAGATCTTCGCTAAGAAAAGACGCTAAACGAGGAAGGGGAGGATGTTCAGCAGCTGCTGTTAGACCCGTGTGGGGAAAAAACGCTGCTATTCTTGCATTCACTTCCTGAGCGAATACACGCAACGTTACCGCACAGCAGCCGCCGAACTAACAGTTAGTAACAGCTAGCGTTAGCGTAAAAATGGGGAATCGCGTAACGTTAGCTCGCGAGGATTTTGAGTGGGTTTATACGGACCAGCCTCACGCCGACCGGAGGAAAGAGATTTTGGGTGAGTCGCTTTTCCGCTCCGCGATCTCCTCTTCTCTTATAACTACTAAAATAAGTCGCTTCTGGTACATATCAGCGGTGTTGAGATCTGTGATCTGCTCTCTGTGGCGCTTTAGCCGTGACTCCAATAGCTAAGCATCTCCCGAGGAAACTAAAATGAGCCAAGCGCTCTTTATTTTGTTGTAATGTTTCCGTGCCATCTTTACTGTGTTAAGTTTTTTCTAACTAAGCTACGTAAATCCGTGTGGTGTGAGTGTTAGCTCGTTCGTTAGGTGTGAGATGACCGTTATGTGAGGGCCACTCCCCGACTCGAGCCCTTCTCTGCACACTGAGCTAACAGCTCACTTCCAGCAAACTCCTCACATCTGCCCTCGACAGCGACTGAACTTCAGAGGATGCTAATCATCTGTCGTGAATTCAGAGGAGCATGCGAAATGAAGCCGTGCTAGCTAACCAGTTAAACCGCGTCCTCTTTTAGCGGCTAACGAGTTTCATAACTATTCGGATATAGTATGTTATAGTGTAATTCTGTGTCTTTTAACTATGTGATCTCTATTTTGTTTGTTCAGCCGTTAATTATGTATTAAGTGTTAAAATGGCGAGTGACGGTCACATGAGGAAGGCTAGCTAATGTGCTGATTCTATTCGTTCATTCTGAATGTCTCTCTCTCTCTCTCTCTCACACACACACACACATGCTGTTTTATTAGTAACATAAACTCTTTACTGATAAACCTGCGTATGAATGCATGGGGAAAGCTGATGAGCCAGCATTCCTGTTATCCATATGTGGAGTTTGGATGAACATTTCAGCGGCTTCACTTCAATCATTCTGTTTAACACAGAACTGCTCTGTTGCTAATTCATGATTTATTCATGATGCCCTCACTCACACACAAACACACACACACACACACACACACCACTCATCTGGTAACTGATTCTGTAGATTTTCAGTTATTATATTATTTACGTTTTCTGTTCACATGGATTATATATCCTGCTGCAGCTGTTACGAATAAAGAATTAACCTGCATTTTGTATTAAACTATTATCTTTAAAAACCCCACTGGACTGAATATGGTATATGGAGTGTGCTAATTTCTCCTGCTCACTGGCGACAGTCTTAACCAAACAACACATCATCCTTACTTGTTAAGCAAACCTTCTTCATGTGAGCTCATGTTTGTCTGATTTGGAGATGATCCAGTATGCATACCTGTGCTGACATGCAGTCTGCCTTATACACTGTTGCATGTACAGTAACAGTGAGTGCAGCTCGCTGTGATCCAGACCTCTCGTCACCTTGCCCTGCTGCTTCATGTAATATTTAAACCCTGGATTAGGTTTTAAAGTAGCACTCCTACCTCAAAGCGGTCAGTACTCGCATTACAAAATACCTTGTATGAAAAGTGCTCGCATTTAAATTCTACTGTGTTTTGCATAGTTTTCTTGGAAGCTTTAGGCAAATGACATGGGCTTCAAGCATATTAAGATATGGATGACGCTGCACGCCAGAGACATAGGAGCCACCGCATCAGATCCCACTGGTGTCGAGTTGCATTAATTTGTCATGGAAATGGACATCATTTGCATGCACTCATCCTCCACATCAGACTATTTCAGATTTACAATTGTTGTCTCTTGTTATTTTGGCAGCTAAATACCCAGAGATCAAGTCTCTGATGGGACCCGACCCCAGGCTGAAATGGATAGTCTGTACGATGGTTGCCGTCCAGTTTTTGGCCTTCTATTTGGTGAAGGACCTGCCGTGGAAATGGGTCATGTTCTGGACGTATGTGTTCGGGAGTTGCATAAACCATTCAATGACACTAGACCCGTGTGGGGAAAAAACGCTGCTATTCTTGCATTCACTTCCTGAGCGAATACACGCAACGTTACCGCACAGCAGCCGCCGAACTAACAGTTAGTAACAGCTAGCGTTAGCGTAAAAATGGGGAATCGCGTAACGTTAGCTCGCGAGGATTTTGAGTGGGTTTATACGGACCAGCCTCACGCCGACCGGAGGAAAGAGATTTTGGGTGAGTCGCTTTTCCGCTCCGCGATCTCCTCTTCTCTTATAACTACTAAAATAAGTCGCTTCTGGTACATATCAGCGGTGTTGAGATCTGTGATCTGCTCTCTGTGGCGCTTTAGCCGTGACTCCAATAGCTAAGCATCTCCCGAGGAAACTAAAATGAGCCAAGCGCTCTTTATTTTGTTGTAATGTTTCCGTGCCATCTTTACTGTGTTAAGTTTTTTCTAACTAAGCTACGTAAATCCGTGTGGTGTGAGTGTTAGCTCGTTCGTTAGGTGTGAGATGACCGTTATGTGAGGGCCACTCCCCGACTCGAGCCCTTCTCTGCACACTGAGCTAACAGCTCACTTCCAGCAAACTCCTCACATCTGCCCTCGACAGCGACTGAACTTCAGAGGATGCTAATCATCTGTCGTGAATTCAGAGGAGCATGCGAAATGAAGCCGTGCTAGCTAACCAGTTAAACCGCGTCCTCTTTTAGCGGCTAACGAGTTTCATAACTATTCGGATATAGTATGTTATAGTGTAATTCTGTGTCTTTTAACTATGTGATCTCTATTTTGTTTGTTCAGCCGTTAATTATGTATTAAGTGTTAAAATGGCGAGTGACGGTCACATGAGGAAGGCTAGCTAATGTGCTGATTCTATTCGTTCATTCTGAATGTCTCTCTCTCTCTCTCTCTCACACACACACACACATGCTGTTTTATTAGTAACATAAACTCTTTACTGATAAACCTGCGTATGAATGCATGGGGAAAGCTGATGAGCCAGCATTCCTGTTATCCATATGTGGAGTTTGGATGAACATTTCAGCGGCTTCACTTCAATCATTCTGTTTAACACAGAACTGCTCTGTTGCTAATTCATGATTTATTCATGATGCCCTCACTCACACACAAACACACACACACACACACACACACCACTCATCTGGTAACTGATTCTGTAGATTTTCAGTTATTATATTATTTACGTTTTCTGTTCACATGGATTATATATCCTGCTGCAGCTGTTACGAATAAAGAATTAACCTGCATTTTGTATTAAACTATTATCTTTAAAAACCCCACTGGACTGAATATGGTATATGGAGTGTGCTAATTTCTCCTGCTCACTGGCGACAGTCTTAACCAAACAACACATCATCCTTACTTGTTAAGCAAACCTTCTTCATGTGAGCTCATGTTTGTCTGATTTGGAGATGATCCAGTATGCATACCTGTGCTGACATGCAGTCTGCCTTATACACTGTTGCATGTACAGTAACAGTGAGTGCAGCTCGCTGTGATCCAGACCTCTCGTCACCTTGCCCTGCTGCTTCATGTAATATTTAAACCCTGGATTAGGTTTTAAAGTAGCACTCCTACCTCAAAGCGGTCAGTACTCACATTACAAAATACCTTGTATGAAAAGTGCTCGCATTTAAATTCTACTGTGTTTTGCATAGTTTTCTTGGAAGCTTTAGGCAAATGACATGGGCTTCAAGCATATTAAGATATGGATGACGCTGCACGCCAGAGACATAGGAGCCACCGCATCAGATCCCACTGGTGTCGAGTTGCATTAATTTGTCATGGAAATGGACATCATTTGCATGCACTCATCCTCCACATCAGACTATTTCAGATTTACAATTGTTGTCTCTTGTTATTTTGGCAGCTAAATACCCAGAGATCAAGTCTCTGATGGGACCCGACCCCAGGCTGAAATGGATCGTCTGTACGATGGTTGCCGTCCAGTTTTTGGCCTTCTATTTGGTGAAGGACCTGCCGTGGAAATGGGTCATGTTCTGGACGTATGTGTTCGGGAGTTGCATAAACCATTCAATGACACTAGCGATTCACGAGATCTCTCACAACACGGCTTTCGGCAACAACCGCGCCAAATGGAACCGCTGGTTTGCCATTTTTGCCAATCTGCCCATTGGGCTTCCTTACTCTGCGTCCTTTAAGCGCTACCACCTGGACCACCATCGGTACTTGGGTGGAGATGGCGTGGATGTCGACATCCCCACTGATTTCGAGGGCTGGTTCTTTTGCACCCGTTTGCGCAAGCTCTTCTGGATCATGTTCCAGCCGCTGTTCTACGCCATCCGTCCCCTCTGCATCAACCCCAAACCCATCAGTCAACTAGAGCTCATCAACGTGGCCATACAGCTCTCGTTTAATGCTCTGCTTTACTGGACCTGTGGTGCCAAGCCCTTGGTCTACATGATGATGGGCTCAATGTTAGGAATGGGTCTCCATCCCATCTCGGGACACTTCATCGCAGAACATTACATGTTCCTCAAAGGCCATGAGACCTACTCTTACTATGGATCCCTCAACCTGCTGACTTTCAACGTCGGGTACCACAACGAGCACCATGACTTCCCTAGCGTTCCAGGATGCCGACTACCAATGGTAAGATGAGTTATTCAGTCCATCTCAATAATTAAGTAGTTATTTGTTTTACTTTTCGATGCCACCCCAAATATAATAATCACCTTGTGATTGAGCATTTTCCTAAAATATAATAGCAGCTCTATATTTTTATGTATGAAGACCCATTTGTACTATGTGAGAAAAGTATCAAGAATGATACTATGAAAACATTCCATCCATTTTTTCACAATCAGATTTTGAATTTTGCTTATCCTCTCGCACCTCCTTATGACTTAAAGGTGCTGTATGTAATTTTTTGCCTGTACTAAAGCATAAAAATACCATAATATGTTAAGCATAACATGCCAAGTTCACATACATTTCTCAAAAAAACACTGGAGTCAATTATTCTGCTTTGAAATGTGCAATCTGTGTCAGAATGTCTGTTTTTGTTTTGGTCTGTGTGATTCTGCCCACTGCCAGTTTACCCAATAGGACAGTGGTTCTCAATTCCAGTACTGGCGACCCCTCGCTCTGCAAAATTTGCATGTCTCTCTTATTTAACACTCCTGTTTCAGATCATCAGCTCGTTAGAAGAGAGCTCCATGCATGAACTGTGTTCCCATTGATAGGGTCCCTACACAGTGTTCTTTGCTCCCTACTCCCTGAGCATGAGAAATTCATTCCACTTCGGAACATTCATTCACAGACTTGCACTACGCCACGACCTGCAGTGTCTTCACACACAGATGAAACTTACTAGAGAAGTCATAATATATCTCTGTAAATAAATACAATTTAAATTCACGTCTCGCATAATTTAATGCCCTCTGAATGGGACACATTCGCTCCCTTCGAACTGGAATCACAGCGGAATATCCTGTGATGTCCACTTCGCAGGGCACTTACGGTCTAATACAGTGGTCACCAACCTTTTTAGGCCCAAGATCCCTGACCTCGGCCTTTATGAAAGACAAGATCTACCTATTGAAGAATTGATAGAAAAAGACATCCCAGATTGTACTTCAAATCTGAGGCCTTTTACTTAGTATTTTAATTAGTGATGCGCTGATTCAGAATTCAGATTTTCTTTTCTTTCTATTTTTTTTTTTTACTAGCAAATTGGATTCTGATACTGATACTGGTTTTTAACGAATGTCTGTTTTTGTTTTGGTCTGTGTGATTCTGCCCACTGCCAGTTTACCCAATAGGACAGTGGTTCTCAATTCCAGTACTGGCGACCCCTCGCTCTGCAAAATTTGCATGTCTCTCTTATTTAACACTCCTGTTTCAGATCATCAGCTCGTTAGAAGAGAGCTCCATGCATGAACTGTGTTCCCATTGATAGGGTCCCTACACAGTGTTCTTTGCTCCCTACTCCCTGAGCATGAGAAATTCATTCCACTTCGGAACATTCATTCACAGACTTGCACTACGCCACGACCTGCAGTGTCTTCACACACAGATGAAACTTACTAGAGAAGTCATAATATATCTCTGTAAATAAATACAATTTAAATTCACGTCTCGCATAATTTAATGCCCTCTGAATGGGACACATTCGCTCCCTTCGAACTGGAATCACAGCGGAATATCCTGTGATGTCCACTTCGCAGGGCACTTACGGTCTAATACAGTGGTCACCAACCTTTTTAGGCCCAAGATCCCTGACCTCTGCCTTTATGAAAGACAAGATCTACCTATTGAAGAATTGATAGAAAAAGACATCCCAGATTGTACTTCAAATCTGAGGCCTTTTACTTAGTATTTTAATTAGTGATGCGCTGATTCAGAATTCAGATTTTCTTTTCTTTTTACTAGCAAATTGGATTCTGATACTGATACTGATTTTTAAGCAAATTTATTTATTGGCTATTTGCTTTATAACAAACAAACTGGCTTTAAACAAAAATATCTAGCCATTTGAAATAAATGTAATGCATTTTTGTACTTATTTTACTGTTTTTTTCGGAATCTACTGGGACAGTGATAAAGATCGCAATCGACGGGTCGGCGACCACTGGTCTAATAGAACAAACGTCTGAAGTGATGAGACACATACAAAATGTGCAGAACGGGGGGGTCATGAGGACTGGAATTGAGAACCACTGCAATAGGATTTCCACACCCGGGTTGCCAGTTGGTGAAAAACACAGTATTTTAGCCATGGAAGCCAGCAAACAAACTGGGTCAGAGATTAAAGATTCTATGCCAACCCTCTACATTACGAGTAAATCACTCGCATATGTGACCAAATCTAGCCATTGGCTAATAAATTCGTAGATTTTACTCGCCAGTGGTGTGTTAGAGGTTAATTATAAATTTAGCGTAGATATATTTTCACTCGCTGAACACTGACTGAGCGCTTCGGAGTTTCACTCTCCATTAAGCGATCTGTACTTTTTCAGTTCATCACAATAAATGCGCAGTGTACTTGTATTTGACGCACCGTAAAGTCTAGTGTGAAGGCGCACGACTCGCCGTCGCTTTGCTGATAGCGCTGTTTCTCACGCGTGCAAAGAGAGAGAGAGAGAGCGACAGCCTTACATACCGCTACCGCATTTACATGCGCTACATGTAAACCATATTCTTTGTTGTATTTTCCTGTCAGAATAAAGGAGTTCATTTGGAATTATTCAGCTTTTAAGAACAAGCAGAAGATATACCGGTTTCTCTGGTCGTGGGCGGAGCTAATGCACAAACGGCAATCTCCTTGGCAGGCGCTCATCTATTACGGTCCCTGGTTTGATTTCAGCAAATCAGTTCGAGCGAACGCTGACAACGTGAATAAATTCATGAACCCAGCAGCTCATCAATCCTTAGTGCGTTGTATAATGTTAGTATAGTAGTAGAATTAGTAGTAGTATTATCTTTTAATAATATTAACTATTATCTATTACTATTATCTTTTTTACAGAAACTCTGAATGACCAACAGTCCTAAGTTCAGTTAAAATGACAAATATGCATTCATACATGGTTACCAAGTTTTAGTTCTAATAACTAAAGTTTTATCATTAAATAGTGCTTAATTATCATAATATAATGCATGATTGACTGATGTTAAGAGTAGGGTTGGGTATCGAAAACCGGTTCCATTTTAGAACCGGTTTCAAATTTCCAAGAACACACAATCTGTATTGTTAAAAGCGCTATATAAATAAAGGTGACTTGACTTGACTTAAACACAATTTCAGGTACAGTTTTTCAAAAACAGGCCGTTTTTGTCTTACGTAAACGGATGAGAAAGAAAACACACGTTTTGCTGTGGTATTTTTATTTTTTTTAACACATAGGCAAAATTCCTCTTGCAGTGTTCTGTAGGCTGCTGATTTTTGCTCGTGTTATTCAGCTGCAACAGAATGCTTTGTAAAAAGACATAAATGTTTGACATCTAAATGTTTGACTTAATTTTTTTTTATATTGGATTTTTTATGTTATTGGAACCGAAACTAGGTATCGATAAGCAGAATCGGAATCGGAATCGATAAAATTCAAACGATACCCAACCCTAGTTAAGAGTGTACATTCAGATATTTAAGAAGCTGTGCCATTTAACAAAGAGAAGCTGTGTGTCCGTAAAATAGCGATTAGTCTGGTGAGTAAACTAAAAAAGGTACTAGCCAATGGCGATTATATTTCAAAGGTGTGCGTAGAGGGTTGTACCCGACCTAAAAAGCCTCGGCATCCGTCTAAAAAAAGCTGTGTGACCAGAGGCATGTTAAAACACGGATAAATCAACCCATTAATTTACAGCGTAAGGCTCGTTGCCTTCCATTGTCTTCAATCTGGCAACCCGTGTGAATGTAGAGTCTGAGGGAGAGCATTGGAGAAACAATGCTATCCAGTATTTTGAATTTGGACTTTAAGGGGCAGTTCGACATGCTCAGGAAGCATGCTGAACTGAACTTTTGCCCTTATGGTGATAAGACTGACTGTTTTGCTTCCTTCAATATTTCCTTCAATTCCTGTTATTATGAACGTTACTATAGCACTAATAGTGTTTTGTTGACTGTGGCAAAGCCAACTAAAAATTCACAGATTGTTTTTACTCAAAGAGGTTAGTTACAGACAAGAATCACCGAACAGCGTCACTGACTGACTGACTGACTAATCTAGTCTGATGTGAAAGATTAACTAATCTGTGCATGTGAGGCTCAGACTGACGAAAGACATGTAAACAATGCAGTTCATCTTTCATATCAGAACATCAGCTACTATCCGTACGTCATCAGCTCATCACGCACCGCAGCTAATGAAACACTCAGATGCTCTCCAGTGTATTAAGATGCTGTGTCCCGTTCCTTCCACCAGGTGAAGAAAATCGCAGCGGAGTACTACAGAGACCTGCCGTGCTACACGTCATGGGTGAAGGTCCTTTATGACTTTATCATGGACGATGAACTGAGTCCATACTCCCGCGTGAAGAGACGACTGACGGGAGATGTCAAACAGGAGTGACCGCGACGGGACGACATCTGCCGCTGACCGTTTTAACCTTCGCCTGCTAGAGAGCGAAGCAGCGATTTTTAGCCGTCATTTCAGCCTCTGTGACACAAAGGAAGAGGCCATGTTACTTTCTGGTTTTTAGCAAGCGTGCTGTCGAATTTTAATTGTGAACCAAAACATTTGAGCTCCTCTGTTGCACATGGTCTGAACATTCAGACGCTTCTAGTTTTAAGGAATTGTTTTGTTCTGCATTTACTCCTGCGTGGAAGTAGGGATGCACAATACCATCAGAACGTTATCGGAATCTGCCGATAAAGGCTTTAAATGTAAACGTCGGCATCGGCCGATAATGTCCAGATAATCTGACTCATGTTTCAGGTTTTGGAGAGGTTCAGTGCAGTGGGTCTTTAAGTACTCCCAAGTGATTAATGCTACTCATCTCATTAATAGACGCCAAAATCTGGTGGTTTGGTGAAGAGGCCTGTGTGTTTAAGCCTCTGTTATACTTCTTTATTTCATCAATTAACCAAGTGAATTGACACACCTTGGCTAACAGTGAATGAAGTTTTGAGCTGTCAACATTTATACGTTTTGTATCACGCGAACTGAAAAGCCTTAATAAATTTGAGCTGGTGTCTAATGATTGTTACTGTCGTCCATCTGAAATATTTGATATATTTTGTATGTATTTTAACCCTGAATAGTGGAATTGCAGTACTCTACTGATCAGGGATACATTTGAATGATATTGTCATTCTGGAAGAAAAACACTGAACTACAATCTCGTGTGTTTTCTGTTAAGGGTCTGTTCCTTTCCAAAAACACAACAGGCAAAAATCTATAAAACTCAAGTTCAGTCTACATGTACAAAAAAAACTTAACTCGTCATGTAATGTTTGTTAAAACACTGAAACAGTTTCTAATATACACTTTATTGCATATATAGCTTTATGAAACATTTGATCATGTAAAAAAAAAAAATGCTGAAATCTCTCCTGAACGAAGACAAATGCACAAAACAATGATCAGGAGAAAACTCACAGTTTATCATCATTTTTTTATTCTTAGTAATAAAAATGGAATCCAAATGTAGATTTCTGATCAACGGTTGTCATCTTGTGAGGGTCTCTTTCAGTTTTTCATACATTATCTGGTCCTGCAAAGAGGAAAATAAAAACCCACGATTAAAAATCACACCCACTCTTCACACAGCTCAAGGATTTCTCATGCATTCTGTTCAGAGCGCCTTCATAATGAATGTAAAGAGCCACTTATTTAAAAGAAAATTCAAGGAAATAAAGTCAGTGATGATAATACCACCCCTCACAGTAACTACACCAACAAAATCAACCGGTTTTTAGTTTGCATTTTGTAGCTAATGCAATTTATTACAACTGAATCAAAGCACAGTCCAGCCAATCACAGATGTCGGTCATCTCTTTGGCTAAATGTGTAGGGTGAGGTTGGCTTATTCTTGTCACTCACCTTCTTGGACACAGACGGCCGCACCTTCTTGAAGGCGTCTTCGAAGTGAATTCGGCTCACTTGGATGTCCTTCACCGCCTCTGTAACATTAAAGACATGCTGTTGTGTCCGATGCAGATCTCCTGTTGTGTTTGTGACGAGATGATGGCGTGTGTGTGTGTGTTACCTGTGTGTGTCTGAGCTGGTCGTGAGCTCAGGTGAACTCGCAGAGCGTTAACACACGCCTCTCGCACCAGCGCCGACAGATCTGCACCTCTGAACACACAATCAACACCCTTCAGCCAATGGAATCAAAATCTACTGAACAAAAAAATAATCATCTGGCGTTTCTTAAAAGATGCGATGTTGGAGGAATTTTGTACATCAACAAACTCGTATAACTAGTTCAGTGGTTCCCAACCCTGGTCCTGGAGGCACCCCAAAAATGCACATTTTGCATGTCTCCTTTCTCTGACACCAATCTCAGGTTTTGGAGTCTCAACTAATGAGCTGATGACCTGAATCAGGTGTGTTTGATTAAGGAGACATGCAAAACGTGCAGTGTTGGGGTGCCTCCAGGACCAGGGTTGGGAACCACTGAACTAGAGCCAAGTATCGCCAGTAACCTCATCAATACGTACATAATGCATTACGATGGCACAACTGAAACTGCAGCACATGCGTGAGAAAAACGCAGCATGGGAAAGAGGGCATCTGCAGGTTCGGTTTCAATATGTCTGATGCCTTACAGAAGAAATACGCTTATTTAGAGGACCTGCTTCTTCATTGTTGTGATGCAGAACATGTGAAAGCAGAAATTAATACAAGGATTTGAGTGGGAAAATTATATATTTATATTGTATGAGCACCGCTCTAATAACAATTTACAAACTTACGTAAAACTCTCACAACGTGCATCATGGGCAATTTCCTCGAGATTGACATCTGAATCTAGAAGTGGTTTGGTGCCGTTCTGAAACATGAAAGAACTTGTAAGCCAATCCAGAGGTGACCCATATATCACCTCATTAAAACTGGTCATGTTGATATTATGTTTGGTTGTATGGCGTTTACCTTAGTAATCGTGACCAATATGGCGTGTCTGTCTGCGGGAGGCGGTAAACCCACATACAGAGTTTTGTCCAGTCGTCCTGGTCTGAGCACAGCGGGGTCAATGATATCTACAAACAGCCATGAAGTCATATACGCATTACAGACATCCAAAATCATCACAAACATGTCAATAGAACTCTCGTCACCTGGCCTGTTGGTGGCGGCCATCATGAAAACCTGCTGGCGGTTCCCCATGCCGTCCATCTCGGTGAGCAGCTGGTTTACGACGCGAGCGCTGGATCCTGACTGACAGCAGACACAGCAGCGTTACGAGCTGGCTCAGAGTTCAGAGACCAGATAACTCATGTGAAGTGTGATGATCGCTCTCACCTCATGCTCTGAGCGGCGAGGACAAAGCGCATCGATCTCATCGAAGAAGATGACGCACGGGGCCGAGTTCCTGCCCCTCTGGAAGACCTGTCTGACGGCCCGCTCGCTCTCACCCACATACTGCAAACACAACAATCCTCATGGGTAGGGTTTGGTACTGAAACCCGGTACCAATATGGCACCAATACCTATGTAGCCGCTATGTACTAGAACCGAATCAGAACGCAGATTTCGGTGCCATGCCTGAGCATTCGATTGAAATATTTGTCCTCTGGTTCTCCGAAACGGACGTAAGAAGCATCATCACTGGCACCGCACATGAAACATAATTTCCCGACTGAGAAAATACATTATAACCTTTTTACTCCACAACACCAGTCAAATGCTTCCTTTTGTGATCTGATGAGGCTTCTTGTCACAGAATGTGGCAGAAAATATGTTCCATCGGCTACTTTAAAAAGAATACATAGATTAGCAATGGGTTATAAATATACTTAATTATTATGAAAATACCAGATGGCTTGAATAACACAGATAAAAACTATAGTCGCAGTCAAGTGTTTATTGTCTTTGTTTTATCATTCAAAACGTTTATATGTTCTGTATACTCAGTTAAAGCCATAATAGCGATGCCTTTGTCCATATAAGGGATTTCCTGGAGGGTCATGAGTTCCGCTACTTCTGTGACTCTCATTCCCATAATTGAAAAAAACAAAAAACTATTCTCGTAACTGTTATGCAAAAAATACCTAATATTTATATCTTGAAGTATTTACATGCCATGGTAATATTTGTCATGATTCTTTGTTTATTTTGCAATTTAAAAATGGTCTTTTTTGTGGGCTTTATGCAAAGTAGAAGTCATTTTGATTTTGGGTTGAAATGAGACCTGGAGATGTTATAGACATACCATAGACTGTATAAAAACATGGACGTAGTGTCCGTGACGTCACCCGTAGGTTTCTGAAGAGCGTTTTTGAAGCCTAAAATAGGCGGAGCCGGCCGTCGCCATCTTGGCCGCGCGTCCGCGTGTCACTCCCGAATAATCGAAAATGGGCACGTCCTTAAAAGGGACAGTTCACCCAAAAATAAAAACCCTGTCATCATTTACTCAGCCTCAAGTTGTTCCAAACCTGTCTGAGTTTCTTTCTTCTGCTGAACACAAAATAACGTGGGCAACCGAACAGCTCATGGTCCCCCCACTGACTTCAAAAGTATTTTTTTCCCCCATACTATGAAAGTCCCAACACTTTGGTTACCCACATTCTTTAAAACATCTTTTAAATTTATTCATATTCATATGATGCATCATAAACGTTTCTCGATCACAGAGCTTGTTTTCTGCAAGAATCCAAAGCCAATGGAAAATCCTGTTTTGCTTTTGTTGAGAAAACCAGGGTAATGTGAAATTAGAGGTCAGCCGACAAACATCCGTCAACACTGAGGCACTCTATTGACTCACGGTTGCTCAGGACAAAAACAATCCTTTACATGGCAGAGAAACACTTCATCACGCTGCATCTGGTTAGGACATGGTGTACATGCATACTGTGGGAACACAGCTCTAAACAAAAGCTCACACACTTTGGCTAACAAGGTCTTTCCGCATCCGGGCGGTCCAGCGAGCAGCACTCCAGCAGGTGTGTTCAGACCCAGAGCTCGGAAATGCTCGGGGTTATTGATGGGAGCCTGCAAACGTACAAACAAAGACCACAACATCACCTTTAAACGAAGAAACGAGAAGTATTACTGATACAGTACAAGACCAAACAACACTGTAAAAGTTGCGTTACCATGATGGCCATGTTGAGCTCCTCACGAATGTCCTGCAGCGCGCCCACGTCTTCCCAGGTGACGTCTGGGACAGTGGCGAACCCCTCGCGCTTCGCGGACGGCTGGACTCTGATGAATTGCAGTTTAAGTCACTTCCGTGTTGGCTTCACGAGAGAGCGGGAGGTTGCCGCTTGAGACATACAGAAGACGGACAACAGTGAGATGACAGTACTGCTGACGTGTGATGATGGATTGTGAGTTTGTATGACGGCAGTGGAAAAACTCACCATATTGAGCAGCTCTGGACCCTTGACAGAGATGAAGTTTAAGCCTGACTCATTAGCAACAGCCTGTAACGAGAGAGAGAGAAGTTTCACTGGCCAGTGAAGAATACAGGAAGCAAACGCAGCCACGTCCTTAAAAGGGACAGTTCACCCAAAAATAAAAACCCTGTCATCATTTACTCAGCCTCAAGTTGTTCCAAACCTGTCTGAGTTTCTTTCTTCTGCTGAACACAAAATAACGTGGGCAACCGAACAGCTCATGGTCCCCCCACTGACTTCAAAAGTATTTTTTTCCCCATACTATGAAAGTCAACGGGGACCAGCAACTCTTTGGTTACCCACATTCTTTAAAACATCTTTTAAATTTATTCATATTCATATGATGCATCATAAACGTTTCTCGATCACAGAGCTTGTTTTCTGCAAGAATCCAAAGCCAATGGAAAATCCTGTTTTGCTTTTGTTGAGAAAACCAGGGTAATGTGAAATTAGAGGTCAGCCGACAAACATCCGTCAACACTGAGGCACTCTACTGACTCACGGTTGCTCAGGACAAAAACAATTCTTTACATGGCAGAGAAACACTTCATCACGCTGCATCTGGTTAGGACATGGTGTACATGCATACTGTGGGAACACAGCTCTAAACAAAAGCTCACACACTTTGGCTAACAAGGTCTTTCCGCATCCGGGCGGTCCAGCGAGCAGCACTCCAGCGGGCGTGTTCAGACCCAGAGCTCGGAAATGCTCGGGGTTATTGATGGGAGCCTGCAAACGTACAAACAAAGACCACAACATCACCTTTAAACGAAGAAACGAGAAGTATTACTGATACAGTACAAGACCAAACAACACTGTAAAAGTTGCGTTACCATGATGGCCATGTTGAGCTCCTCACGAATGTCCTGCAGCGCGCCCACGTCTTCCCAGGTGACGTCTGGGACAGTGGCGAACCCCTCGCGCTTCGCGGACGGCTGGACTCTGGCTAACGAGGTCCTGAAGTCTGACATGAGCACACAGAGTCCAGACAGCTGCTCCTCGCTCAAAGCCTCGTTCCTCTTCAACAACGACAGCAGCTGCTCCAGATCTGCTTTCTGACAGCAAGACGAACTTCACCAACAGCTGAACACCACAATGATTTGTGCTCTACTGCGGTGGATTATTTGTGATAGAGCTAACACTGAGCGTTTGACAGAAGCAAAAGACAATTCAACACAAAATGGTCAAATGGAATTTGTTTTCTTGAATGTTAACAGAATAATTCACCCAAAAACAAAACATTTCAGTTTATCAATTCACGTCTTGTGAAGCCAAAACCGGCAAGTTTGTAAGAAACAAATCCATCATTAAGATGTTTTTAGCTAAAATACAAGTCCATAATCCATAATAACGCTTCCTCCAGTGTAAAAGTGTTCTGGTGTGAATCAGGAGAGAAATCTGCACAGATCAAGCACTGTTTAAACAGCTCTAAACAAATATGTGGCTGGATTTTGATGTGAGAGACAACAGGAGATGCACTTTTTCACTGGAGGAAGTGTTATTATGGATTATGGACTCATTTTAGTCAGCTTTTGTCTTCTCCAGATGATAACTGATGGACTGGAGTGGTGTGGATTACTTGTGGATTATTGTGATGTTTTTATCAGATGTTTGGACTCTCATTCTGACGGCACCCATTCACTGCAGAGCATCCATTGCTGAGACACTGATGCAATGCTACATTTCTACAAACCTGATGAAGAAACAAACTCATCTACATCTACTGGATGGCCTGAGGGTGAACACACTTTCAGCTAATTTTCAGCAAATTTTCATTTTTGGTTGAACTATTCCTATAAGTACGTAAAAAATATTTGCATGGAAAGCAAGTATAGTTGAGGAAAAGTTGATGTACTAGAAGCATTCATGAACGTACTGAATGCATGTGTGTGTAAAGGCACTTTCACTCCAAATATGTTGCCAAAAGCACGAAACAAAATGCAGAAGTCAATAATGTGAAATCAAACCCATAAAGTGTAAAGTGTAGACTATTTCATGCAAATTACTTGCTTAAAGGATTAGTTCACTTCCAGAATAAAAACTTCCTGATGATTTACTCACCCACATGTCATCCAAGATGTTCATGTCTTCCTGTCTTCAGTCGCAAAGAAATTAAAGTTTTTGAGGGAAACAAAATATAATTGATCTCATATAATGGACTTCAATGGGGACCAATGGGCTGAAGGTGCAGCTTCAAAGGGCTCTACACGATCCCAGCCGAGGAATAAGGGTCTTATCTAGCCAAACGATTCACACATTATGTAATCACGTTGGAAAGTTCACGCGCAGTTAGCTCTTCGTCTGTGTGCTCCGGTTCAGAAAAGCAGGGTAGGGTGAAAAACATGACTACATAATGCGTGAAGTTCGGCTAGTGCAAGACAAGCATTTGTGGTAAAAAAAAAAAAAATTATATATATATATATTTTTGTTTTCGAAAATTACCAATTGTTTCGCTAGATAAGACCCTTATTCCTTGGCTGGGATCGTGTAGAGCCCTTTGAAGCTGCACTGAAACTGTGATTTGGACCTTCAGCCCGTTAGTCCCCATTGAAGCCCATTGAAAGAAAAATCCTGGAATGTTTTGCTCAAACACCTTCATTCCTTTGCGACTGAAGACAGGAAGACATGAACATCTTGGATGACACGGGGTGAGTAAATCATCAGGAAGTTTTTATTCTGTAAGTGAACTAATCCTTTAATATCAAAGTGTTCATGAACTGCAAGAAAAGTCATTTTTGGGCTCGTGTCTAATATGTGTGGAGTTTAAGGGCTGCAGTTACATCCCACTTCAAATGGGCATCAGTGCTACCAAGGGCCCTCGTATGTCTATCAGCAGAGGATGTGAAAAAGCCTTAAGATTTAAGTGTTTCAATCCACAATGACTACATTATGAAAATTGAAGAGGGCGTTTCAAAGAAATTATTACTATTTCAATGAGTGATCTAAAAATTAGGCATTTTCTTAAAGCGGGATGGGGGGATCAGACCAAGTCATTCGAGTATCGCTGCCAAAGTGGATCTAGGCTGGCAACAGATGGGATTTGCACACACTGAGTGAATGCTATAAACACCTTCTCCAGTCTCACATTCTGTTAGAAATCATCAAGTCCTGGTCGTGTGTTGTGTGTGGTTGTATAAGCGTACCGGTGGTGTGAGGTCTTCACTGCTCGGCTGCAGCAGGATTCTGTTGACGGCGCTCATGGCCGCCTCCCGACACAGCGCCATCAAATCTGCGCCCACATAACCCGGCGTGAGACGCGCCAACTGTCTGTAGTCGAAGTCCTCCGGCAGCGTGATTTTACGACAGAGCGTCTTCAGAATCCTGGGATGGGAAAAATTGAGGTAAATCAGCGGTCAGTGATATTTTCAATGTTCAACATGACTTCTTTTCAATGCAGGAATTCCATTTTATTTAACATCTAATTAAATTAAGGGTGCTTTCACACTTGTTTAGCTTGCTTGGTCCGAACCCGAGTTCGATTGCTCCCCCTGCCCCCGCTGGACTGCGTTCAAATTATTTTATTTGGGTCCAAACCGCGGTTCGTTTGCGTCATCAAGCCAGCAGCTGTTTACCCCGTTGCTTAGTAACGACGGCGCAGGAGAAGGCGGCAAATGCATAACATTGCTCTCTGCGCTTTTATATATTTACGTTTTTGAACCGTTTTGTTTACAAAGCTTCGGTACATAACGGCACTTACGTCTGTCTTGCGAATGTACTGCAAATGATCTAAAGAATGCTGAAGGTGAACAGAAACAACCCGGGTGCGCACCAAAAGTGCTAGTGTGAAAGCACCCTAAGACAAACTGTTGACAAAAACATGCAGCAGAAGTTTTTAGCACCAATATTAGCAGGCCTCAACGGATTCAGCTTAATTCTATATCCTGCGGTGCACTGTGTCAATGAGAGTAACGTACTTGAGTCGCGCGGCCTCATCAGGAATCCCCAGACAGATCTCGCGGTCAAACCTGCCGGCTCGACGCAGGGCCGGATCCAGCGAGTCCGGACGGTTAGTGGCTCCAATTACCAAGACCTGAGCCGGTTCTGATAACGAATTGAGGTCTAAAGACAACAACAAACAAACATGAGGAGTATAAACAGAGCCCAGAAGAACAGAAACACTGAGCGGTAACACAGTGGCGTACCGTCCATGCAGGTGAGTAACTGCGCGACGATCCTCCTCTCCATGTCTTTGGAAGCGATCTCTCTTTTTGGCGTGATGGCATCGATCTCATCGATGAACAGGATACAGGGAGTGCTGCTCTACAGGAACAACAGACACCAAACACAATGACACAAGCACCAACAGAGAAACACACTGGTCTTCTATATATAACGTTAATTTTAATCAATATTCATTTTGGTGAAAACATATTCTTAAATTCTCAAGCGATCTTTTTAGTCTGTGCTGTTTACAGTTGATGCATGAACAAAACGTCACTAAACATTGTTTGTAACACACCTGCCATCCAATAATTGAAATGAGTTGTGTGCTTTCTTAGTTCGGATATGAAACAAAGTCTCAGCTTTCAAAATCTGTCAATTTTATCATACAAAAAAAAATACATTTAAAATTGCGGCGCATAGCGGCATGTGGATGTAATCTCTTCCTCTTTACTACTAGTTACAGCAGCAAATAAACGAATGAATCATTAAATGTAAAAGTGTGTACAATTTAAATGTTTGTATAGACCCTTTTAGTGCCGACGTCACAGCGCTAGCTGGAGGCAAAACAAAGGGGAAACTGGAGGCGGCCAATTCAAACCAGCACAGATTCGGCTACATAAGGAGCTTAAAATATCATCTTGTTGTGATGTTGGGTGCCAGACTCGACGTAATACAGCCTCAAATTTGAAATTTTATCACATAGCTGCTGCCATTACCAGACAAAAAACCGACGACAGCAGTGGTTAAACGCGATAAAACGAGCAGACTGGACAGAAACAATCGTCAAAAATGCTCGCGTTTGCAGCGCACACTTCTTATCAGAAAAGGTTCAATAAAGTATTGTCTTTTGTTGTTATGGATTATGGTTTGTTTCGTGATTTCTTATGCATCTCACAACATGCAAGAGTAGCCTATATCGTGTATGAAAGTCTGTGTGCATGTGATGTACCAACTGACGGGCCTCCCTGTGTAGTTCACAGCTTTAGACCAGAGAGAACAACTGACATGTACTGTACCTGAAAATATATGCTAATAAATTGATATCAGAATCAAATTAATGATGCCAATCAAAAGCTTGTGAATCAGAACAGAATCGACTAGTCCATTTTGCACTGAAATGCAAGGTGTACATGTATTCCAGCTATAAATCATCTGGAACATCCAGTGAGATCTGCTCAAAAAAACACTCCCAGCCGCTGGTACACCTCCGGATGCCTCGTGTGGATCAGCAGCTTACAGACCTCCTGAAGAAGACAAGCACTCGTGTGTGAGCAGGACAGACGGACGGACAGACGGATGGATGAAGAGATCTGAAACGCACCTCTAGAGTTTCCTCACTGCCGCCGAAGTCCTCGAACTTCACCGCTGAGAACTGCAGCTCATGGCCCTTGTTCTTACCTCGAGTTAAAACGAGAATTAACTTCTCACACAACATCTGATGTTCAGAGATACTTGTAAAAAGTCTTAATAAAAATAAACGTTTTGTATCAAGAATTTTTTTTTTTTGCACAACATTTTCATGATGATAAAGCCTATTCCCCATTGAAAAATACCACCATGATCATTACAATAAGGTAAGATTAGTTAACATGAATTAACAATGAAAAATACTTCTAAAGCATTTATTAATATTTGTTAATGTTATTTTCAACTGCATGAATATTTGTATTTTTTTTAACTAATGTGAACAAAGATTAATATATACTGCAACAAACATATTGCTCGCTGTTAGTTAATGCATTATTAATTAAATAAAGTAGAGATGCACCGATTGCAATTTTCTTGGCCGATTTCCGATTTTTCGTTAGTGTGATCTGCCGATACCGATTTTTGCCGATTCCGATT